GAGGAGATGACATTGCTGCCGTCTCTGGCACGCTGTGGCGCCTTTGTCCCTTGTGCAAGGACGATTCGGCGTTGCCGTACCCACCCTTGTCGCCAACCGATCTCGTCCGGACGCCCATCCGTGGATGGTGATGCCGCATCACGACGCACCGACACGGTCGAGCTCGTCGTGCCTGTGGCTACTATATTTGTACATATACAGTATATTGTAGTTAATGTTGGGCAATTGTCTTCATACAAATCGTCTCATATCGCTGCAGTCCACGGCATTATTGGACGCATCAGTGCTATGAAGGATTGCTGTGCTCGCTCACGTGGCAGAAGCACAGAGAAGTGTGTCGTGTCCGCTGGTGCAGGTTCGCCGAACCCTGCACCGCAACCATAAGAACCATAGACGAGGCCGATTATCGGTAACGTTGCTGATGATGAAGTCGGCCCACTGCAGTCATCATCATCACAGCCATCACCACAACCTTGCGACACGGGCAACTATGACCGCCTTCCAGTTTCTAAACCGGTGATTACAAAATGCCTGGTCAACGTGAACCCGTCGACTGTGTCCGACGCGATCAGGGGTAGGGTACACGCCACTTATCGCTAACTGCGATGTGCATGCGTCTTGGACGACCGAGTTTCTTTAATAGTACGATGTGTGTGTTATATAAGTGTAGAAGAGCTAGCCCATGAGGTGCTCGAGCGCATCAAACGTCGTCCGCAAGTGATTCAAAAACACATCACAAATGAGGCTTCGTGGACTCGCGCACAGCGGGTTTTGCTTGGGCGGCTCCAGCGGCAGCTGGCCCGAGAGACACAAGCGGCGCATGGATCGATACGGGCCTTGGGGTACGACGACGACCCTAATACGAAAACGATAAGACTCCGAGTGTCAATTCGTCTGCAAGTACGTGGCCGTCATGTTGCCAATGTAAAAGCCGAGCTGGTGCGGGTGCACTTCGTCGTCCAAGACTGTCTGCAGCACAAAGACGATGCGGTCGTTCTCAATGTAGCGCTTGACCGCGCCGAGCGTCTGGATGAACGGCGTCATCTTATCCAGATACGACGTGATGCGAACGTAAACCGAGTTTTCGTCGATTTGCTCGAGCACCTAGCATGCCATAAGAATACGAATAAGAAGCCAACATACCTCGAGGGTCGCGTTGTTGGGCAGCACGATGCCTTCGCGGTGGTTGAAGACAGCCCAGCACTTCATGCCGTTCGAGATGAAATTGCAGTCGCGGTACCGGAGACTGTGGGCCTCGAGCACGATCGAGTCACCGCGGGCGTTGACCGTCACGTTGAGATGCCGCGTGTCTTCGGACGCTTCCATGAGACCCGCGCGCAGCAGCATCGCGTCAACTTGCTCGTGCGCATCGTCGACAAGCGCGTGAAACGAGCTCCTTCGGCGGTCCATGTCGGCGCTGAGCTTCCGAAGCTTCCAGTCGTCGAGGTCCAAGGTCGGAAACGTCTACGTCATGACGTTCATCTATAGTGTCGCAAGGTTTGGAGGACGTACCGCGAGGCGTGGCCGTTTGATGAGGAGCTGGTCGAGGGCCTGTGCAATCTTGAGCTGCTCCTCGAGCGCGCGCTTGAGCCGGCTGTTTTCCGAGAGCGCGCGCTGCGAGTTGAGCTTTTGGTTGCGCGCCATTCGCTCCCACTCGGAGCCGCCTTCGGCCTCGAGCGCCTTGACGTTGGTCAGCACGGACAAATGCCCGCTGAGCTGTGCAACTTGCTCTTGCAAATGCTTGAGCTCCTCTTTTTGGCGACGACGGTACTTTTGGCTAATCGACTCCTCCTTCCCGGGCTCCGACTCGCTCGGGCTCTGCGACGACGGCGACGTGGCCATCGGGCGCGGTGCGTGCATCTCGAACGGCTGCGCGTTCATGCGCACGTCCGACGTCAAGTAGTAGGCAATGTCGCGGTCCAGCTGGAGCTCGTCGATCGGCAAAAGCTCGCTGAGCAAGCTCGGGTTCTCCATCGCCGAGTTGTTTCACAAAATGAATTTTGTCGCGAGAAGGTCCATGCACACCGATGTGTGATTGGCTACTTCGTATGCGGACATGCATATCCGGAGGACACACTATTTCCATCCCAGCTACAGCGTCGGGGTGGGATCGATGACGCTAGTGCTCTCGTAGAATCAGCGATGGCTTCAGTATGTGGCTTCGACCGCTTTTGCAGTGTCCGACGCGAAGGTTCTGGTGAACAGCGTTTCGCCGTGTACCACCCACCCGCTTGACCACTGGCCGTGACCGTGTTGTGAAATACGCTGCCGAGCAATACTACACTGGGTGGTTGCTCTCGGGAAGCTTACTCGTCTCGAGGGGTGGCCGCTAATCTGACAACAGCAAAGTCGCGATCGCGTCACACCGCCGTTATCATGCAGCCCATGCGAAGATGCAAGGTCGGTCGTGGCGACTCGTTGCCCGCTGGGTGCTACAACAGCACACTGGTCGTCGTTGGGATGGCCTTTGCAGCGTTGCCAGAGGATCGTCGTGGTGCCGACGATGTGACACTAATTCCTGGTGTCGATCGGGTATATACTGTCGGCGTGTCGCCCGCATCATGCGCTTGCTCCGAGAACCGTGCAGTGTTGCATCAACAGAACGGCCATCGTCTCCGCGCCGAGGCAGTTGGGACATCCGTGGTGTACGCGTGACGCGGCTGTCACATGGTGTTGACGGAGCAGTTGCATAGGAATGCAAATATGTTCCTTCGCCGAGGATGTTCCAGTGGTCGCCAGCCTTTCTCCACGTCCTCGTGGACCCAGAGTCCAACTGGAGCCCGTCAGAGCTACGTTGCACAGCACTGTGGACGTACTAGTACACGTGTAGTACTACTACGCAGAAGACAAGAGCCCACATACAACGAGCTATATCACCGCTCCTTCCATTCACCGCAACGTGTGGTAGACGCGAACCAGTTCGGATTCGAGGTAGATTCCCACGTCTTCGCCGTCTTTGCGCAAGTCCAACTGCCGCAAAGTCGAGCGAAAGGCCCGCGGCGCCATGCTCCGCACGTGGTCGCAGTCAACAAGGCGGGTCAGCAACGCCACGTCGCGCAATGCGCCAGCGTGCAAGAGCGTCGATCGAAGCAGCGTCTCTTGCAGCCACACGTGTCGGAAGAGCGACGGACTCGAGGATGCGCGGAGCATGGCACAGAGCGTCAATGGCGATGGCGGCGGCGCCAACACGGTTGCCCAGTCGCAGTCGGTTAGCAGCGCGTCGCACGTGGACCAAGCTACGTCGCCGTCGCCGTGTCGTAGCCACGCTTGAATCTTCGCCATGCATTCGGCTTTGGAGCGCTGGGCAAGTGGGACGTCGGCGGCGATTTTGACGGTTGATGACGAAATGGGGCGCGGCGATGATTTCGTCGACGGTAGAACGTCGTGCAGGTTGCACGTGACACTCGGTAGCACCATCTCCATCGGCACAGCTTCAGACGAAGGGACTTCGGCGCGCGTGCGCATCCAAGCGAGCTGGAGCCAGTCGCCGTCGAGACCTTCCTGGTACAGACGCAGCTCGAGACCGAGGCTCGCATCGTCGTTCGGTGGGCTTGCCATGACCTTGTCTACATGCTTGCTTGTCTCCTGCTTGGGCACCTCGTCGTCAAGGACAATGACCTCTACCGGCGTCTGGCGCGGACCATCGGGACTCTGCGGCGGCAGCGCCAGCCGGCTTCGCTTTTTCATCGTGTGCGATCCGACCACTCTGTACGCAATTAGTGTATTAGTACTTTATCGGATATATCCGGTGATTCCGGATAACGTGCCAACACTGGCCAAGATGGACATCCCGGGCTGCTACGACGCCCTCCAGGAAGCGCTCAAGGAGCCTCGCCCAAAGCAGCTCGTGACCGAGATCAACGCTGTACGACTGCGCTACCATCGACGCATTCCCATACGCTCATATGCCCGCGGTAGCACCTCGAGACGGCTAACGCGACGAATGGCCAGCCCAAGAAGCTTCAGTTTCTCTGCGTCGACTGCAAGCAAGAAGGTATGCGTATTTCACGCATGCAGCTACGCAGCATCATGTATACTGACGCATTAGGCGTCGAAGGCAAGGCCCGCGCGTTCTTTGCCGCGCCGCCCGTACGCAGCAACGATGCAACGTGTTTGCTCAACTCTTATTCCTAGGCTATCGTGCTCTGCGCCAACCGCCTTCGGACGCAGAACGACGTGTCAGAGGTCATCGTGCACGAGCTCATCCACGCTTACGACGTACGCTACGTCGTCGTTGCCTTGGACTGAATCGCTGGCATTAGTACACGGTGCGCGGCATGGATCTCACCAAACCCGACGTCCTCGCGTGCAGGTCGTCGTCGCTTCGATCGTCGTTGACCGCTGAACTTTTGCGCGTACGTCTAGTGAAGTGCGGTCGGCGCGCGAGTCCGAGTGCTATCAAAAGGCCGACCACTTTTGCAAAACGAGTTCGGCGGCGCTCGGGGCGCGTGCCTGCGAGTGGTGGACGCACAAGTGCGTCAAGGACAACGCGACCCAAGCGACGTCGGTAGGAGGCTCGATCTCACTCATGCCAAGATCAATATGTGACTTGGTTAGTCAATGCTGCCACCCACCGAGGCCAAAGCGCGCGTCCAAGCCGTCTTTCCCACGTGCTTTGCCGACCACGCACCGTTCACGTCGGCGTAAAGGAATGGAGCGATCACGATCATCTCGCCCAGAGGCGCGTCGGTTGCAAAGGCGAGTTGGACAGCAGAATGTACAGCGCGGACTCGACGATCCGTCCTCCTTCTGTTCCAACGCAGATCCAGTCAGTCGCCACGTAACACGCGACATGCCCACGATCCAGTGCGGACTGTCATCGCTGCTGCAAGCCAGAGCTCACGCAGAGGCGGTCGTGCCCTCGATGCAGCGATCTTCCGCCGTCGTGGCAAGCGCCACCAACACTCTGTGCACCACTGTAGCACAGGAGTGGGACCCAATCGTACGCCTCTTGGAGGCGGAACGGGTCAGCGTCCAGCGTCAGTGACGCGGCTCTACTGGAAGGGGATCGATACCGGCGTACGAACAGTGTACGAACGCTGTCGAACGGTGCGCGCCAATAAGAGTGTACCGGGCCCGGGCCCGCACGGCACTTGGGGCGTGGATGACAGAACCCTTTGTGGCGCACATACAAACAGCAGGGTAGACCAGCGAACAGCCCCGACGTCGGACCGCGTCTGAGCAGAGTGGCTCTGAGCGCGAATCGTTGATCTCACGCAGCTGCGCCCTCGGCGGTGAGCGCGGCCTGCCACGCTCCCTGCGCCCAGCGTCATTGGCGTCGGCGGGCCAGATCGGCGTGGCCTTGCATGCATGCCCGCATCCGTTGCAGGCGACGCATGGCCGTGTCGCAAGCGCGCTGTTGACCGCTGGGAGCGTGTCGCAGCACATGTCGCGGCCGCGTGCGGCGCCTTTTGGCCAATCGATTGCCTTTCTAGCTCCTTTCCGCCAATGGCATCGCTCTATTGTCGCATGTCGCAGCGTATTTAAAGACCGCGGAGTTGCATACATTGTGCAAGAGATAAAAAGCAAATGCAAAATAACTTTGGTTTCCGGCCCATCGACTTGGTTGGCTCAGTGTGGAAAACAGCGTCTGAGACACTTGGAGGAGGCCGCCCCCGATGCAAGGACAACAGCAACAGCAAGGACCGCCCACGCGGCAGCACGCGCCGCCTCCGAGCGAGGTGCCTGTGAACGCGCAGCTCCTGCGCGATATGATGGACTGCGTCGACGTCTCATCCTTCTCCATGGAGCGCAAGGAGTCGTGGGCCAAACTGCGGACGCTCGTGTCTGGCGATGACGCCGCCGCCGCCGAGATGCGCGCCGAGCAGCTCCTCCACGCCCAGTACCCGTACGACAGCGCGAGCCAAGAGCGCAAGTTCAACGTCAAGGAGAGCGCGACCAAGCTTAAGCGCCTCTTGAGCTCGCAGAATTTCTCGATGAACGAGAAGAAGGCCAGCGTCTCGGCGCTCGTGGGCCTCCTCGAAACGCAGGCGCCCGGTGGCATTAGCCGCACGGAAGCCACCGAACTCCTCCGCAGCCTCGGCGACGAGATCCCCGCGGAAGAGCTCAAGCGGCTCTCGAGTTCTAACATGTTCAAGTCGTTCATCATGCACGCGGACGGCATGACGCGCAAGAAGAGCTTTGACGTGCTGCAGGGCATCCTCAACGCGACCTCCAACTCGGCGCTGCAGCGTCCGATGACGTCCCAAGACAGTTTCCGCTTCCAGACGCTCGCCAACTGCCTCGAGTCGATCGAGAGCGACGTCGCCAAGTACGCCGCCGAAGAGGTCGCCGAAGACGACGACAACGAGTACGTCGTGTCGGTCGACAACCTGGACAACCTCCTCGACGACAAGATTGTCCAACCGACAACATACCCGCCGCGCGAGAAGCCGGCGCCGGCCAATGCCCGCCCGCCGCAGCAACACCCGCAACACCCATCGCAAGCCACCCCCGCGCCGGCGCCGACGCAGCTGCCCGCCGCCAATGCAGCGCCGTCGGCCTCTGCGCAAGCCAACAACGGCATGCACCCGTCATACCCCGGCCAGGGCAGTGACGAACGGAGCTTGCAGCAGCACGCGGCCACGATGAGCGCGATGAGCCAGCAGCAGCCAGTGCGCGGCCTCGCCAACACCGCGGCGCGCCAGCCCATCAACACACAGTACCCGGGCTTGAACATGCAGCAACAGACGTCGCACATGACGCACCCGACGATGCACATGTACCACGACACGTACCGACAGCAACAGCAACAGCAGCAGCAACAACAGCAACTCCACGCGTCGCACTTGTCGCAACACCCGTCCATGCAGCAGTACTCGATGGCGCCGCAGGCCGGCGCGTACTACACGAACGGTCCCCACATGTACCAGCAGCAGCAACAAGCGGCCATGTACCAGCAGAGCAACTATGCGATGCAAGCTGCCGCGCACCAGCACCAGCAGCAGCAGCAACAACACCATTTGCACCACTACGGCCACCTCCCGTCGGCGTATGCCAGTGCGGCGGCGCCGTCGCCGGCCCATTACGAGCAAAAATACACGGCGCACTACGACGCCGGCAAGTACGAGCCCAAGTACGAGCCCAAGTACGCACCGGACGCGGCGGCGATGGCGGCACCTGGCAACTCGGCGGCGTACGCCAAGTTTTGCATGTCGCCGGGCTGCAACAACATTGCGCGGACCAAAGGCATGTGCAAGGTGCACGGCGGCGGTCGTCGCTGCAAGGTTGAGGGCTGCATGAAGAGCGCGCAGACGGGCCACCTATGTATCGCCCACGGTGGTGGCAAGCCGTGCCGCATGGAAGGCTGCCCCAAGACGGCGCAGTCGCGAGGCCTCTGCAAGCAGCACGGCGGTGGCGTCCGGTGCAAATTTGAAGGCTGCACCAAGAGCTGCCAGTCGGGCGGCTTTTGCCGTGGCCACGGCGGCGGCAAGCGCTGCGAGTTTCCCCAGTGCAAGAAGTGGGCCCAGCGCAACGGGTTCTGCGCCAAGCACGCGCAGGAGCTCGCGTCCAACCCGGCATAGAAGGAGACGGAGATGATAAGGAAGGTTAGTTCGTGTATATAACACAGGTTAGTAGTTATACAAGTGGAAACACTCGTGTTCAGCACAACGCGCCTTTGGCTGATCTATCGACAGTGAGTTGGAGAACGGCGCTGATACCAACTGGGAACCGGTCTCACAAGGGCGGTGAGCTGCATGGCAAGATACTATATTGTCGCTTCCACAGTTTAGTCCCTGCAAGGGTATATAAGGTTTGCATCTCTTATATACCCTTGGTACCTGCCATGCGTCTAGATGAGAGCTCTGGATGTGCTGCTCGCTTCGACTGCAGTCGGCTCTCGACATCTGGCAAGGACCTGGGATCTGAGATTCGTTCAGCGAAGAAGAAGATTGCACTTCAACTTGCCAAATTTCACTTTGTACGCGATGTGATTGGCGCGTGTGTTTTGGCCAATCAGCGACGCCAACCATTTTTCAGATCGCCGAGCATGGCCGGACGCCGGGTGCTCGAGGCCAAGACGTCGTCGGACGGTGGCCTTGAAGAGCGCATCAAGCGCCAGATCCTCGCGCTCCGGCGGCGCCAGATCATCCTCGAGGGCCAGCTCATGAGTGCCAAAGAGGCCGAGCTTACGGACGCAGCGACAGGCATCGGCTACAGCACGGACGGGCAGAGCCTCGCGCGGCTCGAGGTCGTCGTCGGCGCGGGCGACAACATTCGGCTGGATGCATATCCTTCAATGGCTTTTTCCATATTGGGCACAGACATGGCGTACGTCCAGGCGCGGATCGTACCGGCGCCGGGTGGCACGCAACGGACGCGGCGACAGCGGCTGCCGACGCCGCAGTGGCACGAGACACTCCATTTTGACGCGCTCCCGTCGCTTAGCGCATCCGTGTACATTGAAGTCAAGCACGCCATGCGCTTTAGCCCCGACGTCGTGCTCGGGCACATTGTGCTGCCGTTTGAGGAGCTCCTCGCCCAGCATCCCGTCGACAAGACGTTTGCCCTCAGCGAGACCAGCCGTCTGCGACTTCAAGCCACACTCACCTACTCCTCTGTACCACTTCTTCTACGATGGAATAGGACGCATCTGAAGTGACGTGGCGGCGTTAGGCGCGCGTTGTCCACGAAGAGCTGACCGAGGTGCGCCAGGACATGGCAGCGCTCACCACCAAGCTCGCGGCCATCCAGGCCATGGTATTCCACTCCCATCTTGTTTGCATTCCTACCAGCGTTCATAGCCTCCACGACGTCCCCCGTCGGTCGTACAGGCCTATATTAGCGCAGCGTACCGGCCAGCGCCCACGTATTGGCTGACACCGCCCCGCGCAGCAGACGAGAGCAGTCGCAAGCGGACGCAAGACGACGCACCACCCGCCGACGACGCACCACCGAGCAAGAAGCGCAAGACGGCGCTCGTCTCGGACGCCTATACATGGTGCACGGACCGGCTTGGGCCGGCGCCTGCCACGACGCTCTACAGCCAACTGACTTCGCGTGGTACGTTCTGGACATCCCTTGCTGTCCTTGGTGATTCTCACACAATGTCTAGTGAAGGCTTTCTTCCGGCTTAAATAATACCAACCATCGAGTGCCGTCACCGTCCTTGCGGCGGTGTCCCCGACCGACCTGCGAGGAGCGGCAGCGGCAGCGATTTGTTCTGGACTGAGATGGACGACGACGCCTCCCGGTCGTGGATGTGGGGCAGCTTGAGCTGCCGCAGCACGACCTTTTGCGGCTCAAAGATCTAGTCGCATCGTTCACAAGTGGGCGAGGAGCCGTGTCTCGCACCATGGCATCGTCGCGGTCGTTGACGTCGACCACGCGGCGGGACCGGCGGGACCGACACGCCGGCGTTCGAATGCGCATCGTGAGCGACTTGACCTCGTCGTGCTAGCGCATCGAAGCCTGCTGCATCGTTCTCAAAGCCAAGGTACGTACGTGGTGTACGGGCTGTGGTAGCACCGGGGGGTTGGATGCCACCGGTGGCGTCGCCGGCGCAACGCGGAGAACATTGGCCTCGACGAGGTCGGCGCGCGACGGCCGTTTTTTCCGAGACGGTCGCAGCGTTGGCTCTGACTCGGTCTACTCTGCAGCTTGCACAAAAGCGTCTCGCATCGTGAAGACGTACCCGGGACAAGGCATCACTCGTGTCGCTCGCCTTCCAATCCGCTCCCCGCTTTTCGAATCCTTTGTGCCGGATGACGACGCCGCGCGAGACAGGGCTCGACGCATCGTCAAAGACCGGGCCGCCGTTGAGCGCCTCGTAGCGGATAAAGAGCTTGGCGTTGTCGGCCGGCGTCGAGAAGTTCTAAGTGCAAACTGAGAAAGGCCAACTCGTCACTTGTGTACCAAGGGCGTGAGGCGCGAGAGCGGCGTCTTGGGCTTGAGCGTCAGCTTTGGCCGCACCGATGCCCGCGATGTGCCACGCGACGCACCACGTGCGTTGCGAGACGTACTAGGGCTCTGCCCCCGCGCCGAGTCGCCGGAAGGAACGACGATCTGCGGCTCGAGGCGCGGCGGCGGCAACCGCCGGAGCAGATCCTTCTTGGACCGGCGCGATACGAGCAGCGAATTCTCGCCGACAAGCAGCTCTTTTTCATCAACGAGCACGACCTCGGACTCGATCGGTTCGTCCGGTGGGCGCGGCAGCTGCTTCTCGAGCTCGTCCGGATCGGTCACGAGCGTTGCGGTCGCGCGGGCGCGCGCCTCGTCGACCTCGATGCGCTTGACGCGGTCGGCGTCCGCAGCCAAGATGCGTTCAATGGTCTCACGCCGCGCGAGCTCCTCGAGCGTGATGGGCACCACGTCGACGTACGACGCTGCAAACTGCACGGCAATCGCTACATCCACGTCGGAGGTTGTCGTCGTCTCGGGCAGCGTCAGCGCCGGACTTGCTTGATGCGGCGCGGTCTTATTCGGACTGCGCTTGGGCGAGATCGACTTTTGGCTCTCGCGTGTGGGCGACGCGCCGCCAACGGTGGTTCCGCGGTGCGTATTGGACCGCCCGAGCGGCTTGCGCTTGGACGGCACCGTGGCCTTGGACCAAATGTCGATGGGCGCCGGCGTCGGTGCCACGTGCTCGGCTGCGTCGTCGACCGACTCCGGTGTCTTGGTGTGTGGCAGCATCATCATGCCTAACATGCCCATGACGCAGCTCGTGGCGACACACGCCGTGTACGCGAGCTACGCAAGCGGTGCATGTCAGCGCGACAAGTGGTGGGCGCGTACCGTGGCTTTGCGCAGCGCGTTTTCCTCCATCGAGCGTATGAGGCCGTTCAAGAGCGTATCGAGCGCGTCAATGGCTATGTCTTCGGGCTCGAGAAGCGCTTCGTGCAGCACGTTGACGGGCAGGAGCGGCGTCGCGCGGGCGACCGACGACCGGCGCCGGCGGGCGGTCGCGATCGGCGCCATGAGCGATGCTTTCCTCGGCTTCATGCTGCAGGCTGTTTCGGATCCAACTATAGCGCCGCCAAGTAGGAATTGCAGCCACTTAGGTACGAATTGATAGCATCACATACGAAATACGGAATTGGTCGTAAGAAATAGCGACATAAAACTACTATCTTAGGGAGATAATTACTGGCGCGCCTGCCGGATGGTCGCGAGGAGGCTGCCCACGTTGGCCTGGTACAGCGAGAGCTTGGCCTGCAAGGCCGCCCACTCGGCGGGGCCAAAGCCGCGCTGAAGCGACCGCGTGATGACGACGGACCGGCCGAGCTGGTCGATCTTGGCCGAGATCAAGTTGGCCGTGATGGCCTTGACGACCCACTGCTCGACATCAGCGGCGGGCACCTGGAGCGTGCGCTCAATGTCGGCGTACGCGATCGCGTCGTGGCCCGTCGGGTACGAGCACAGCGTGAGGAGGCGCATGTGCGAGGTGCAGACCGCGCTGTCGAGGCCGTGGGCCTTGAGCGTCGCGGCCGACGCCTTCTCAAAGGCCACGTAGTCGGCAAGCGACTTGGACGTGAAGATTTCGAGGAGGTCGTAGATCTTGTCGGCGCCCTTGAGCTGCTGGACAGCCTTGAGGTGGAGGAGCTCGACATGCGCAACAAAGGCCTCGACCGGCGCCTTGATGACGGCGACAGCGGCGCGGATCGCGGCCGGCTTGGCCTTGGAGACATCCTTCTCAGATTCAAAGAGGTTCAAGTACTTCTCGAGGAAGAGAAGCGACTGGTGCTGGCCGTCGACCTCCTTTTCGAGAAGGTCGGCGATGCTAAGGTACACGCTCTGCAGGTTGGCCGGCGCGACGCCCGCCACGAGCGCGTCCATGTCGTTCAAGTAGCTCTTGATCAAGTGCACTTGGTTCGTTGCACCCGCATAGTTGATGATGTTAACGAGCGTCTCAAAGCGGAGCGCGTTCGCGGCCGGAAGGCTGTTGAACACTTCGGCGAGGCTACAGAACAAGTGCCATGAGCTTTGCGTTGCCGCGCGATGGGAGCGTACATGCGGAGCTTCAAGGTCGCGTTCGTCGTCGTGTCGGCCGAGAGCTTCTTGAGCAGCTCCGGCACGTGCGTGGCGCCCGTGGCCTTGAGCAGGAGCTTGAACGCGCCCTCGACGTCCGTGTCCTGGTCCTTGACCGCAAGGAGCGCGTCCGTCTTGGCGAGCGCATGGGCACCAGCGGCCTCGGCGGCGACAGCCGTCGGCTCCTTCAGGATCGCCTGCACGTAGGCAGCCAGGTTGGTCGCAGCTTGGGCTTGCATTCTTAGAGTCGTCTATACGAATACCAAGCTTGGCGGCGCCAGCCACGCAGCCCACACCACCAATGACATCGGAGCGGGGTGCCACCTATACATTACGACCAATCACCGGCAGCCGACCCCTATGGTTGCATCTCATTGGCTGATATATAAGGGAGGTCGCAACTCGCATCCTGCAGTGTGGGTATTTTAAATACGGAAAATGAAATGCCGATACAAACACCAACTATATAAGTTGAAAAACGAATTAATGCGACGTGGCGTCTTGGATTCGGCATCATGTGCCGAATTGAAGTCGTGACCTCATTCAGCCACCTGCAGCCACAGTAAATTGCACGCGCAGCTCGTACCAGTTCTAGTACAGTCTGCAAGCTAAGGCCGCTCGTCGCACCGAATCGGACCTTGATAATATACATCCCCAGTGCCGAGGTCGCAGCCCACCCGCAGATCCAGCGCAGAGCCTACAGTAAATGGCTAACGTTATGCGAAGGTTCTAGCCAGCGACACCGAGCTCTGTGCCTACACCAGCGAAGCTTCGTTGCCAGCCCAGTAGCCCATTAACGCGGGTTTCGCATGCACCACTCGCACGCAAGATCAAAGTAGGCCACGAGATCCTCGCTTCAACGGCAGAGAGAGCGTGGCACGTGATGCCGAAAATAAAAACTGCGACATGTGGGATGCCACGCGCGCCGCTTGATTGGCCATTAGCCGACCCTTGCGATGGAGGCCAAGGTCAACTTCCACGTGCGCAAGTTCCTGCGTGAGAACGAGGACATCAAGCCGAGCGAGTCGAGCGTGCTCTCGCACCTCCTCTCGACGTACAACGAGTACTCGCGCAAGCCGCATGGCCCGCTCAAGAAGATGGTGCAAAAGGCGATCGCCAAAAACACTCCAAAGTCCGAAGGGTAATCTCGCCGTCACTTGCATTGCTCATCGTCGCCTGACTAGCACCAAGCGCCCGCGCAGCGAAGACGACGACGACGACGACGAAAAGCAAGCTGCGGCCCTTGAAGCGTCGGCGCCGCCGCCTGTGAACCTCCTCAACAACTCGATCACCAAGACGTACGCCGCCGAGGCCGCCAAGGCCGAGAAGGCCGAGAGCGACAAGCCCAAGAAGGCCAAGCGCACGCGCCCCGAGACGGCGGCGGTCGCCAACGACAACTTTATCGTGTCCCGACCGACGACGCGGTACTCGGACGTCGGCGGTATCCAAGCGATCCTCAAGGAAGTCCAAGAGCTCATCGAGTACCCGCTGACGCACCCCGAGATTTACACGCACCTCGGCGTCGAGCCGCCGCGCGGGATCCTCTTGCACGGCCCGCCGGGCACGGGCAAGACGATGCTCGCCAATGCCATTGCGGGCGAGAGCGGCGCGTGCTTCCTCAAGGTGAGCGCGCCCGAGATCGTGTCGGGCATGTCGGGCGAGTCGGAGCAAAAGGTCCGGGACCTCTTTGACCAAGCGATCGCGAACGCGCCGTCCATCATCTTTATCGACGAGATCGACGCGATCACGCCCAAGCGCGAGACGTCGTCGCGCGGCATGGAGAAGCGCATTGTCGCGCAGCTGCTCACGAGCACGGACACGCTGAGTCTGGCCAACACCGGCGGCAAGCCCGTGCTTGTGATCGGTGCGACCAACCGCCCGAACGATTTGGACCAGGCACTGCGCCGCGCCGGCCGCTTTGACCGCGAAATCTGCCTCGGGATCCCCGACGCCGACGCCCGCGAAAAGATTCTGTCGGTGCTCGCGTCCAAGATGCGTCTCTCGGGCGACATTGATTTCAAAGACTTGGCGCGCCGGACACCGGGGTACGTGGGCGCCGACTTGGTCTCGCTCACAAAGGAAGCCGCCGTGCTGGCCGTCAACCGCGTCTTTTCGACGCTCTTGCACAAGGAGACACCGAGCGCCGGGACCGCCGAGACGTCCATCAACGACGAGATTCGGTCCGTGGCGCCATTTACGCCCGAACAACTCGAGCCACTGAGCGTCAACATGGATGACTTTCTCCAAGCGGTCCCCAAGGTGCAGCCGAGCTCGAAGCGCGAAGGCTTTGCGACGATTCCGGATGTCACGTGGAACGATGTCGGCGCGCTCGTCGAAGTCCGCGCCGAGCTCGTGCTTTCGATTTTGCATCCGCTCCAGCACCCCGAGCGGTTTGAGGCTCTCGGGCTCAAGATGCCGGCGGGTGTTCTCCTGTACGGCCCGCCGGGCTGCGGCAAGACGATGCTCGCCAAGGCGATTGCGAACGAGAGTGGCGCCAACTTTATTTCGGTCAAGGGCCCCGAGCTCCTCGACAAGTACGTTGGCGAGTCGGAGCGCGCGGTGCGCCAGGTGTTTGAGCGCGCCCGCGCGTCGTCGCCGTGCATTGTGTTTTTCGACGAGCTCGACGCGTTGTGCCCGCGCCGCGGCATGAGCGACGGCGGCAACGGCGTCAGCGAGCGCGTTGTGAACCAGCTCCTCACGGAAATGGACGGTCTGGACGCCCGGAAGAACGTGGTCGTGATTGCGGCGACAAACCGCCCGGACATCATCGACCCGGCCATGCTCCGCCCCGGCCGCCTCGACAAGCTGCTCTACGTGCCGCTGCCGCACGCCGCCGAGCGCTTCCAGATCCTCTCGACGTTGAGCGAGAAGTGCAAGATGGACCCAACGCTGGATTTGGAGGCGATCGCGACCGACCCGCGTTGCGACAGCTTCTCGGGCGCGGATCTCAGCGCCCTCGTGCGCGAAGCCGGTGTCGCTGTGCTTCGCGAGGCCGACAAGACGCACATTGAGACCGGTCTCTGCATCCAGAAGAAGCACTTTGAGTCGGCGTTCCAGACCGTCTTCCCGTCCGTCTCGCGCGCCGACCAAAAGATCTTTGAGAAAATGAAGAAGAATTTGCGCAAGTCCCGCGCGACGCTCACGAGCACCGAGCCGGCGCCGGCGCCGATCGACGACGACCAAAGCGTCACGGCCAACGAAGCCGCGGCCTTGTAAATGGCCTCTATTTTCTTGATTTTAAACCGCATAAACGACTTTTCCGTAACGCCGCAAACGCCACAAATGATATAGTCCACCCGCGGAATCGAACCCAGGTCCACGTGCTTGGACTAGGGAAGGACCTCGATCCCATCTAGGACGCTACAGCGTCGTTGCAGCGCCTCCAACCGACACTGCATTCCAGCACACATGATCGATGTGCAGTAGAGGGTGCCATGGAGTAGTACAGAGTCGGGGGAACTCGACGCTTAGCTCGAAGAGGTGGTAAGATGCTGCGACTACTAGTGACGCCAGTAGGCGACCGACGAGTCGTCGGACGCATGCTCCTTCTCGAGATCAACGTCATCGTCCGTCGTCGGCGCATGGTGGTCGACATCAAGGGCTGTGCTCTGAAATTGAAGCACCGACCCCAAGAGTCCTAGGAGGACCCAACCGCCCATGTACACATAATACTACCGCATCCAGTTCAAAATGAGGATGAAAACAAGACGAAGGGCGTACACTGACGGGGACGGCGGCGGGGATGCCATTAGGGAAAGGGTTGAAGAGGGCCGGAAACCTAATGTACGATTATTGTATTGGCGTATGGGCGAGCGACGTACCCGCCCGCCATGTTGCCGATGCCTTGCACAAACCAGTAGGCACCCACCCACGCCGTCAAGAGCACATGGATCGGCCTAGCCACGGTCGCTTCAGACTCCATTCTTTCAACCGCAAGCAAACCGGCGCGGAATGCAAGCAACGAGTCCAAAGACAGCACCGCAGCCCGCCATGGTATAATACCCGATCGCATTCGGTCGCGAGGCGTCGAGTGCTACTCATGAGTACGTCATCCTCGTCCTGCTTGAGGAAGCGTACTGTGAAGGTAGACGACGTTGAGCATCGAGCCGAGCTGGATCCCGAGCGCCGCGCCTGCACAATATTGTCGTTAGTGAAAGGGCATTGGTGCAGCAAAATGGAATTACCAAAGAGAAACTGGACAATGGTTTTGAGAAGATACGTGAGCACGCCGAGGACGAGCGCGACGCCGACCGCGACACCGAGGCTCAGGAACGCATTCGAGGAGCCCATGGACGTGCCCCATGCCCAGCCCTACGAGGTTATCGTCTTACATTTCAGCGGATCGGCCACAGCAGTACGAGGTAGCCACCGAGAATGGCGCCTTGTAAAACGAGCGATGTCGTAAAGTGCTTGTAGCCCGTAAACGTCTACGAAAATGTCATGATGACAACATGTGCGCACGTCGGAGGAGTACAATAAAGGCGGCGACCGCGAGGAGGCAGACACTCCCGAGGGCCATCGCAGCCGAGAGCGGCATGGCGTCCACCATCGATTGATCCGTGGGGCAGGTTGCGATCTTTTACGAAGCGCTGTGATTGGTCTGACCTGCTGTCGCGCGATGCCATTGGCGCGGAAAGATTCACCTCCACCAATGGCCTTTGAGAACGAGCCGGCACAACGCTGAGGGGCAATGGCAGTGGATCACCGCATAACACCCTTGTGCATATGCAGGCCTGAGGGGTACTGGTGTGAGTGCAACGCGGTTGGATTAAAGTAAGAGTCCGTTTCAACTACAGTTGCTGACATGCAGCGCTGCTTGATCCACTCAAGAGCATACTAGTACATCTATCTCGACGGGTCTTTTGTCTACCGAGTTTGACTCTACCGTGGCGTTGATCCGGCGTGTGTGATCGTGACGACGCTGTGGCCCAACGGCCCTGAATTCACCGTCGAGCGCCGGTACCGCGAGTTCCATGCGCTCGCCGAGACGCTGTATGCGATGCACCCGTCGTCGGCACTGCAGCAACGGCTGCCGCCCAAGCTCTACTCCCAGCAGACGCACGCCGCGGTCGTCGGTCACCGAGTGGGCGTCGCTGATCCAGGCGCGCATCGCCAAGGTGCTCGTGACAGCCGAGGGCTACGCGGGTTTAACTCCTGGGTTCAGCCTCACATACATGGCGATGCTACCAAGGCTTTGGTGGTACCATTGCTCGTCGCCTCCCGTTGTCAACCCCAATTCTCTGTACCTATATTTCTGTAGGTGACACAGGAAGGCATAAGAAACACCCTGCTGCGACCTCAACGTCACATGCGTGCGACTACCACTTCATGTATACCGGCCGTCACCAGTCACCACAACACACTGGAGTGTAACCTACGACGACTGAGGTTTGGTACGAATCGACGGGCTATCAAAGCTCACGCTGTCCGCCACCAAAGATACCGATCACTGCAATATATACGCAACCTCCAAGATCCTACTCAGTTGATGTTTGTATGCTACATACAACCAGTGCCTGGACGCGGCAAAGTCCTTCGACGCGACCACTCGCTGCCCTAGCCCCAAGCCAAATACAAACGTGCCATCTCGCATATCTAGCCATCGC